CACTCCTATGTGGTTTTCCCCCAGAATCTATGATCCTAAACAAGTGTGTCTCCTGCTTCCTGTACTCTCCTAGTTTTCCTTCTCCTTTACAGCATCCATCAAATCTGCTTCAGTTCCCCCTTTCATTATTATTAACCAGATAAAACTTTAATCTGTAATGTGAATAAGATGAGGTATAATTATTATAATGGAAAATATGTACTTTCTTATAATGAGAGACATAAATTCAGAAAAGGGAAAAATGTGAATCTAGGCCATTTTGAATGTGAAAGTAAATTTCAAGTCAATGTACTTTGGAATCTACACTAATAAAAGAGAAAGATGCAAATTAACCAATACTCTGTCACTCCGCTACACCCACAAGCCACGCCCACCAGCCAATCAGAGCTACTATGCAAATTAACCCAACTAAAATGGTGGTGGCCATGGAGCTGGAGCGAGCAGGAGGCTTGGGTTGCCCCCAGAAATGGAGGAAGCCAAGCTTCCCACCTGCCCTGCCCTCCACTCAAGGCTACAAGGTTTGAATTATAGAAGATCAATAAATCCCAGATACCTGCTTCCAGGCCACCCTGGGGGAAAAAAAAAATAGAAAAAAAGGAGAGGCTGGGAGCTTGGGTCGCCAGGGGGCATGGCCAGCCTGAAAATGGCCATCAGCCCCTCACCCAGGCTGGCGAAGCACCCCAGCTAGACCCCCACCCTGAAGGGGCTGTGGACAGCCTGAAAACAGCCCTCAGCCCCTCACCTGGGCTGGCCACACCCCCATGGGGTGAGGGTCCCCACTGGGGGGCTTGACCAGCCTGCAAACAGCCACCAGCCCCTCACCCAGGCTGTCCAGGCACCCCAGTGGGACCCCCACCCTGAAGGGGTAGTGGCAAGCCTGAAAACAGCCCTCAGCCCCTCACCCAGGCTGGCCAGGCACGCCAGCGGGACCCCCACTCTGATCCAGGACACCCTTCGGACAAACCAGCCAGCCCCCAACCGTACACCAGGCCTCTATCCTATATAATAAAAAGGTAATATGCAAATTGACTCTAACAGCAGAATGACTGGGAATGACTGGTCACTATGACACACACTGACCACCAGGGGGCAGATGCTCAATGCAGGAGCTGTCCCCTGGTGGTCAGTGTGCTCCCACAGGGGGAGCTCTGCTCAGCCACAAGTCAGGCTGCCAGCTGCCAGCACAGCGATGGTGGTGGGAGCCTCTCCCGCCTCCTCAGCAGCACTAAGGATGTCCGACTGCAGCTTAGGCCTGCTCCCCGCTGGCAAGTGGACATCCCCCAAGGGCTCCCGGGCTGCCAGAGGGATGTCTGACTGCCAGCTTAGGCCTGATCCCCTGGGGAGCGGGCCTAAGCCAGCAGGTGGACATCCCCTGAGAGGTCCCAGACTGCTAGAGGGCACAGGCTGGGCTGAGGGGACCCCCCCCCAGTGCACAAATTTTTGTGCACCGGGCCTCTAGTCCTATATAATAAAAGGTTAACATGCAAATTGTCCCCATGGGTGGGAGTTTGACCGACCAGAAGTTAGATGTGCGCTGACCACCAGGGGGCAGCACTGAACATGGCAGGCATCAGTGATGCAGTGCTGGCAGTGGGCAGCAGTGGAGGCATTGCCGGCCCTGATGGGTCCAGATGAGAGTGGGACTGCAGCGGGATGGTGGAGCAGGTGAGGGGGTGGCACTAGGCCAAGGTGGGTGTGAGCAGGGCCCTGGTCCTCCCACAGATGGCGACAGGCAGCGGGGAGCAGGGCCGGCGAGTGGGTGTGAGCAGGGGCCTTGATCGCCCTGCCAGTCGCCCCACAGATTGGCGCTAATCACCAGCCAGGCCTAGGGACCCTACCCGTGCATGAATTTCATGCAGCGGAACTCTAGTACAATCATAAATTAAAAAATACTTCAAAATGACATTAGTAGTAACAGAAGTTACTTCCAACTAGGTAAGGTTAAGGATTATTCTGAAGTTCTGGCTGCTTTACTTATTTTATTTTTCTGACATCAAGAGAATACATTATTTTCCCCTAATTAATTTTTATGATTTATTTCTTAAGCTCACTTTGCCATTCATTTTTATGTCATAATTTCCTCCTGAAAGATTTAATTAGGTGAGTCCTTTAATCCTTCACATATTTTAGGAATTTTTCTTCCAGTTTTTTGTTTGATAATACTGTTTAAATATTCAACTCCATCTGGACTTAGGTGAGGCAGGGGTCATCTCAAACACAAAATTTAAGGAGGCACTCACTATCAGCAGCCAACCCTGCACTTGTAAACCCCTGAAAGTGAGGCTTCCTTAAATCTAGTTGGTATCTCACCTGCCTCATCATAGTCCCAGCATGCATCAGAATATATTACATTATAATGTAAACTTTTCAGTGTTTTTCTAGTATGAAGTATGTGGTTTTAGCCACTTAACAGAAGTAGAGTCGAACATTTAGAGAGGTTTAGGAAATGTCCTATGGTAGTTTCTGAGAAGTGGAACTGGTAGAACGCAAGCCTCCTGATTATAATTTGTTAAATTACCAGATAATTTCACAAGTTGTAATTGAAATCGAATCAATCACTTGTTAGACTCAGATGGTATTAGCCACATAGAAAAATAAATGACTACTGGTTTGTATTCTCCAGCTCCAAGGGCAGGGAGTGGATGATTTTAGTGACTCTCAGAGAACCACAACCAACGATGTGAGGCTTGTCCTTTCTGCTTTTCCAGCCTAGTTTTTGTACTCTGTCCTCGGACCAAGGCACCAGAGTCCTCATTGCCTAGGGTTGCTCAAAGCCTCTTACTCTCGCTACTCACTAAGATAAGTTCTCTGCTGAAACTCTCATGCTCTACATCAACCCTTTATTAATTACCTACATGTAAGTTCCATCCCTTAAATTGGTGGCAAAAAGAAATAAATCTGAATATCTTGCTACATCTGGACTTGCTTATAAAATAAACTTGTTAAAACCTTGACTAATGGCTAATTGATTGAGCTGTGTAGAAGCTATTTTATGAGTAACTTTACAAGATTCTAGAGTGGGCAGTGTTCCTCACTAGTAGAACTAAGGATCAAAGGTGAATGAGTAACATATAATTTCAGAAGGTTTGCCAACCATACTGTAGAAAATTGCACTGGATACATTCATGTTGCATATACAGGTACAGATTCAAACCATAGCTTACAGCACTTTGCCCATCCAAGAATTTGGTAACAGGTTGGCAAATATAAACTTTAAGATAACCTATTAGATTATACATGTATGCATTTTAGGATGAGATAATACTGGTTAAGTTTCTTCCACGCAGAGGGAGTTCATTACTTGAATTCATAGTCAAGGTAGAGACTACAGAAATCATTGTAAATTCAGACGGGCTTAAATGAATTTCCTATCAGGTGATCATCACCGGAGCTCAGATTGAAGACAGCACAGGCACTTGGGCAAAGCTCTGTGACCACTGGGTATAAAGGGCATGTGACCGATGGGTAGGAAGTTCTTTTTAGCATAATACTCATCACAGGGTCCATAATGTTTATAACTAAGATCATTCCCAGAAATTGAGGGGCAAAAGGAAGGGGATTTTAATGACAGGGGTGGCTCTTGTATTCTAAGCATATTTTACAGGTGTGTGCAGTTATATCCCACGGAAATAATCGGATATACTCCAATTTCCAAATGGTAGAGAAATGAGAATTCTGTACATATATATGGTGACTCTTCAGGGTTGCTTTTTTTTATGCCCATATGATTTACTTATAATTATGAGTATTTACTACTCAGATCTCCTTTGTTACTCAATTATGTGTAATTTTCTTATATATGAAATTTCTCTTATATCGAATTATATTCATCATTTTAGTTTATATGTAGTTATTTTTAAAATTGTTTTAAATTGTATTATTTATAGTAGAAGAAAATTCAAACATGGTACTTATGTGAATGCTTGCAAAAGCTAGACTAGAGAGAATTATGTGGGTGACTTATGTTAGGATATCAACTTTGCTATTTCCAATTCTTTAAAACTAAACACATTCTAAGCAAGTAACAAGCAATGGGTAAGATATAAATTCCATTGTAACTAGAGGATCGATGTAGTTGGGTGACCTTACAATGTTTGTAGATGTTTCCCAGTTAAATAGTGGAATTTGGTTAGAAGTGGTTCCCATTGGCCATTAACATCAACGATATGCCTGATCCTTTGTGTTACTAAGTGGACTTCGGTTTGGAAATTGTACATTATTCAGTGTATAGAACAATATCATGGGTTGTCTTATTTGGAAAGTAAATTATGTGTCATAGTGGAATAGTGCCTGCTGGAGGGAAAATTTTCTTTTACATCATGCTCTCTATAGTGATAGAGGAGACTGCTGAAAAATTGGGAAATAGATTTTGTAATTTCTAACAGTATATAGTAAGCTGGAAAATACCTTTTATTAAATAAAAATAGCATTTCACTTCCTTTTCTTCTATGAGAATAGAGGGAAACAACACATTTACTGAACTGTAAAAGGAAGAACATATTTGGAAAAAGTTGACATTGATTTCCAGACAGGTTATAACAGTGCTTTTAGCTTTCTATTGACAACCAATTTTCTCTTTCAAAGGACATTGAAGAATCAAAACTCTGTGAATGAAATATTGGTGATAACAGAACAAAACATATATGCCTTTGTTTTCTGAAGAAAATAAAAAAATACACTCTTCTACAGTTCAAATTCAATCCATTCTCTGTGGATACAATAGCCACATATCTTTGAAAGGGAAATTTTGATTAAGTCATTTTCCTAATTAATAAACACAGAAGTATTATTTTAAATCTGTCTTACAGGAGCTTCACAGAATGCCTCTTTCTTTTGATCCTTTTAAGTAGAAGAAAAGGGGAGCCATGAGCAAGTCAGCAATGCGCTCTCTGGTACACAGAGGCCCTGTTGCTGTGGTGTCCACTTACTGTGGCTCTGCCTTTCTTCTTTACACGCTTCCCTCCCTGGATCCCACTGCCTCCCTCCGGGCCTCCTTGCAGCCTTCAGGCAACGTGTGGGTGACCCATGAAGAAATGGAAACTCTTGCAGCTCCAGCGAAAACGGTTAGTCCATATGGCTCTGTTGAACATGAAGAAAAGTGACTTTGCTGCTATTTGGATAATAAGGCTGTTTTGTTCTTGCAGCACTGGTAACAAATATCACTTAGTATTGGGCACATTCACATTTAATACATATTACCAAACCCAATAAAATTTGTAATAGAAAAATTTAGATGGAATACTCATTTTTAATGCAATCATTTCATTTATTGTATTTTAGCATTTTAGAGAGAGCACTTTACCCTATCCCCTGCTCCAAAGAATGTTCTGTTATTTGTTATTCAAAGAACAGGCTTAAAAAATTCTTGGTGACACTGATTGTAATTGTCTACTTTAAAAATATATTACATATGGCCATTTTTTAAATTTAAAGTAGCAAAGTTGAGTACGACATGCATTTTATTCTTACCAACTTTTTAAAAATTTAAATCTTCTTTCAGTTTTATCCCTATTTGAAAAATGTATTATCCTGTTTATTGTGGATAAAAATGCCAATGCCCAGTACTAATTCTATTTCTGGTTTAGTTTGTTGTTTTAGTTTTGTCTTTTTTGGTTTTGCTTGTTTTGGCTGTTGCAGAAATCTATTTGATTACCACAAAACTCTCTTAGAGTAATGCAGTTATTTTTCCACTTCATTAATTGACTTTATGTAAGATTTCTCCATCTGTGAGTGTATGCTTGTATGAGTGTGTGTGTGTGTGTGTGTGTGTGTGTGTGTTGTGTGTGTGTAAAACAATGAACTGCATAGGGGTATAGCAGGCTATAGCTATATAATGTATATTTTATAATATATGTGTATATGTCCATATTTGTGTATTATGTTTTTATGTATATGATCAGAAATTTTTATTATAATTCATTACATTTGGAAAAGTACACACTTTTAAGAATTAAAAAGTGTTTAGAATTACCAGATCAAATATATTATGAAAATTCCATGTGTCATGAGTGTGTGTTTAGTTGGAATTAATTAGAAACTATTAATTAGTAGTTGCCTTTGAACTGCTAAATTGATTACTGTGATCTGAATAAGAATCTGTCTTTAGCTTCCTATGTTATAATTAGCACTTTCAATAACAATTTTGCTTTTTAGAAATTTCACCATAATAATTTGAAATTAATTTACACTTATCTGCTTTATTAATCACTCCCTGCTGCTAACACAGAAAGAATCTGAGGAAGGAAGCTGGGCCCAGGTAGGAAATTCAAATGCTTTAAAACAGTATCACTAGTACCCGATGAGGATATGAAGTAAGAAACTGTTTTATATCTCAATATTGTAAATCTTCCCTTTGCCTAAAATTAGGCTAACATGCACATTTAAATTTATTATGCTTAATTATATTTATCCTTTTAGCTCACCATATTTTGCAAAGAGGATGATTATCATTTTACACCTGGCCTCTTTTTAAAGGGAACTCTCATTTATTCTTCAAAAGAATCAACTGTAACTTAAATTTCTCTGAAATCACCCCTGAATATATTTAATCAGGAATCATTCAAGTTGGATATAAGGGTGGGGGAAATTAAACATTTATTTGGAATCACATTTGCTTTCAAGTATAGGGGGAAGTGTATGAAGATTAGGGTGGGAAGGATGCTGTCAGCATTGCAACTGCAAGTCACAAGTTTCTCCCATTTATTAGGATGGCAATAGAAGACACACATATTCACTTGGAGCAAACATGTTCACTAGGAAGTTGTGCATTTCCTAGCATTTCCACATGCTGTATAGCTGAAAGAATTACAGTCATGTACCAACATTGTGGTCAGTGAAAGGCTCTTTTAGAGCATGGCCTGGGTGTGCAGTAGACTATACCATCCAGGTTTGTGTAAGTACACACTGTGATGTTCCCAAAATGATGAAATCACCTAAGGACATATTTCACAGAACATACCGTCACTATCAAGCGGTGTACTGTGTGTTAATGCAATTCAAACCTGTGACAATAAGGAAAATTTCAGTAGTTATTATTAAGAACTACTTCAGTAGTTATTATATTTAAACATTCAGTAAATTAGCATTGCATTAGGTTTTGATTTGGTAAAAATGTCATCATTTTTAAGAACACACCAAAAAGGAAGCACCTAGATTTTTGTTAGAAATATGCAATTCCAGTTGTCATTTGATAAGGACAAACACTATAAAATTAATAGAGTAATAATCTTTACTAAAAATTGTTTTAGAGGTGATGTTTGATTCTATTTTTCATTTTGGCTGTTATAAACAGTGTTTGGTAAGATCAGTTCATCTTGTTATATTAAAGAATTGGATTACCGTTTTTAGTTTTTGATCATGCCCTACTTCTTTAAATATAGAGTCTATATAGATTAATTTATCAAAAAGACTGATTCTTTCCAATAATCTTTATGAAATATGGCTCATGCTTCACTAGGTAATGACAATTGTCCACCTAAAACTTCAGCATTCTGTCTTCTAGCCTTGTTGCTCTTTTCTTATTCATTTACTATTTTCTTTTTTACATCAAGATGATTTGCCATTATATCATAGCAATGTCACATCATCAAAGAGAAGCAAATAGTGGAGTATTAGCTAACAGTTAAATAAAATATTAAATAAACCTATTTATATAAAGAATCCTTAAGCTCAGCATCTGTATTATATCATTAATTCTAATTTTCATTAAAAATGCACATTTGTATAAAATGTAATTCCTTTTGAGAATACAAAATGAAAAACATCATTTTCTATAGGCAAGTACCTTGATACATGTACACAGAGTTCCACTTTGTACCAAAGTAAATCACATCTTAGAGGTTAAATATTATTTCTGCCATGTTTCCATATATCATAGTAATTAAATATCAGTTATAATGGTAGACAATACCCCCAATTACCATCTCATTTTATTGGCTGAGAAACTTGACTGCTATAAAACAATTCTAGTGTCCGGTTTTCCTACAGACCCTGGCATATGGAGATATGAACCACGAGTGGATTGGAAATGAATGGCTTCCCAGCCTGGGGTTACCTCAATACAGAAGTTACTTTATGGAGTGCTTGGTAGATGCAAGAATGTTAGATCATCTAACAAAAAAGGATCTCCGTGTCCATTTAAAAATGGTGGATAGTTTCCATCGGTAGGTTTCTTCCAGAGTCATTAAAGTAAAACAATGAATAATGTACATATTTAAGCAGCGCATCACTGCTTAAATCAAAAAGAGATGTAACTAAATCAAAAATAGATATTTAGGAAATAAAGATTATTTGCTATTCTGTGAACATCTAGTTGACAAAATATTTTCATGCAGCAAATTACAGGGCCTATCTAATGTCCCACTGTGTGCATGTTATGTGCCCAAAGCTTATAAAACTATACATTCGTAAAATTTTCATACAGCATAGTTTTTTTTCTTTATCTTTGGAAATCCCGTGTTTGTGATTTTATCTATGTATGTTTTTCTATTATAAAATTCTTTATAAAGAATAAAATTAATTTAGTTTTAACTATAAATATATGTGGTTATAAATTACATAACTTAGGTATATACTAGAAAAAAATTTGAGAAGAAATTCTGCTGTAAAAAACACTTTGTGTTTTTGCTTTTGTATAAGTCTTTTAGTGCTTTTACTTATTTTTACATTAATTTTCAGGGGAAAAATCCTGAATGGATTGTGAGACAGCTGTAAGGACACAGATGAATAAAATGCAATTTCTTTTTCAAGTTGTTTGCCATCGAGGCAGTAAAAATAGGCTTGCTATAATACCATGTCATAAATGTTATGCTGCAGCTTGATATCTTTGCAGGTTTATGTGAAAAATTGTCAGTTAGATTGTAATTGTCTTATGTATGGTTGATTATGATGGTAAATTAATAAATATAGATGAATTCAGCTTGGAGAACTATTTGGTCACATCCTGTCCAACAGTAAACTAGGGACTAAAAGAAAAATGATATAAAATCAGATTTGTAGCCCTGCCCAGGTGGCTCAGTTGGTTGGAGTGTAATCCCATAGCCCAGAAAGGTTTCAGTTTTGATTCCTGATCAAGAAACATAGCTAAGTTAGGGGTTCAATCCCCAGTCAGGGTGCAACTGATAAATGTTTCTATCTTGCATGGATGTTTCTCATTTTTCTCTCTCCCTTCCTCTCTCTTTAAAAACAAAATCTTTTTTTTTTTAATATATTTTATTGATTTTTTACAGAGAGGAAGGGAGAGAGATAGAGAGTTAGAAACATCGATGAGAGAGAAACATCGACCAGCTGCCTCCTGCACATCTCCCACTGGGGATGTGCCCGCAACCCAGGTACATGCCCTTGACCGGAATCGAACCTGGGACCTTTCAGTCCGCAGGCCGACGCTCTATCCACTGAGCCAAACCGGTTTCGGCTAAAAACAAAATCTTAATATCATATGTGATGACATCAAGTAGTATAAAAAGATAATAATTGGGACTCTTTAATCAAAGATATGCAAATACTTTGAATCTTAATAGAGTTATTAACACTGTTGGATTAAATGAGGTACAGATAAATATAACACTTTTCTATTTATTGATTTGAGAGAGAAAGAGAAAGATATTTATTGTTCCACTTATTTATGCATTCATTGGTTGATTCTTGTATGTGCCCATACCAGGGATCAATCCTGCAGCCTTGGCATATGGGATGAAGCTTTACTAACTGAGCTACCCGCAAGGGCCATAACATAGTTTTTAAAAACCATTAAAATATTGGATGGAAAATCCTTGATTTAAAAATATTTCAAGTGAGAAAGATATGTGACTTGTAGTTGACACAAATACCTCAGTTTGGGTTAATGACTCACCAGGGCATATTTAGATTGTATTTACTGGCAGGCATAATAGTAGTCCTACCATATGGTGAGATGACAATACAAATTGTATTAATTTATATACATTAAATTGTTCTTGATAAAGTTATAAAAGTCTGGTGGAAAGGTTGAAGAAATTAAAGATATTTAACTTGGATATGGGAAGACTTCAGATAAGTTCTCTATGCTTTAATATACTTATGTGATGGGAGAATAATATTTGTTCTGTTGAACATGCACTTTTCTAGTTCAAACAGGTGTAGATACTAAGATGAGTGCTTTGTGTTAAATAGAAACTTTGTATGACTCTCAGTTGCCCTATAGCATACACATTGTGAGATAATGAGTTCCCTGTCACTGAGCATTTAGGCCCTCAAATTTTGCATAGTTGCATTAGCCCCTTGCACACTAGAATTTTTGATGACACACTTATATTTCTTCCCATTCTTCACCAGATCTACTTTTAATCACTTTATTATTATAGTAGAAATAATTATTATAATAATCAAGTTTTCTTCTTAAAAAAATAAAAATTACTTAAATGGCAAGGTTCTTGTTTGTTCCAGGAAATACGCAAGCTTCATCTTTATTCTGTGCTTAGGTCTGACGTACAGCCGGTAGTACCTAACTGCATACTGCATGTCATGATGGATGGAAGCCTGACAGACACTGTTTTAATAAGATATATCGTCTTTATAGCACAACTTTATATTACATATAAAAACTTGCCAGAAACTTGCCAAGATTCATTGATTTAACCTCAAGCAGCCCAATGCCTATGATGTTTATTATACCAACATTTTATGGGATCCCGCTGAGTTAATTTGCTAGGGCTGCCATAACAAAATACCACAGGCTGGGTGGCTTAAACAACAGATATTTATTTTCTCACAATTCTGGAATCATAAAATCTGGGATCAAGGTGCCCGCAGGATTGGTTTCCCCTTGCATTGCAGATGGCCACCTTCTTCTGTGTCCTCACGCTGTCTCTGCTCTGAGTGTGCACCTGCATAGCTCCCGTCTGTGTGTCCAAATTCTCTCTTCCTATGAAGACATCAGTCAGACTGGAATAAGGCTTACTCTAAAGACTGTGTTTTAACTTAATTACCTCATTTAAGACTCTATCTCCAAATACATTCTGAAGTACTACTGGTGTTAGGACTTAAACATGAATTTGGGGAAACATAATTCAGCCTGTAACACTCACTCAATGCAGATTTCTTTTCATTTTCCTCTAATTGTGAAGTATTTTGAGCTCCACATTGTCTTTATTAAAGTGCAGGGCTTAGGACTGCATCTAACACTTAGGAGTAACCTGGCCAATGTGTATGTATAAATTTATGTGTCTTTCTAAACACCTAAGAGATCACTAATGATCAATGTTCTTTCCTCTTGAAGCTTGAAGATTCTTTTTTTAGTACACTCTTCCACATCCTTAATATCTGATATTTCCAAACCTCCTCCTTTCTTCTCTCTAGACATTTCTGGTTTCTGGGTTCACTGTTCATGCCCGTGGCAACTGTCCTTATTATGACCATTATTTTAGCAGCCCTGACACCCTAATTGAGTTCCTTGTCCCCTAGGTTTTCCTCATCTTCTATTTTGCTACCAGATTATTCTTCCTTAAACCAGAAATTTTCATTGCTTTTCTTTCTGTATTCCACACTTACAATGAATGCAAAGCTTTTCTTAATAGAACTCCCCTGTCTCTATATAATATTATTTCTCTTGACTTCCTACCACGGATTTTAATCCCAGATAGTGTACCTCAGTATCACCAGGCATTTAAACTTTCATCTGCAGCCCCATGGTCATGATGCTCCATTTTCTTTAATAACCCTTTTTTTACACCTGATCCTAAGGATCAGTCAAGTTTCTGCTCTTCCTTTCCAGAGTTCCAATGTCTGCTGATTTGTTCCTTTCACATATTTCTGTATCACTTAGAGTTGGTGGCTGATCATCTTAGTATTGGTTATCTTATTACTTCACTTATTCATATATTTATATTACTGTCCTCATTACTAGTAGCTTTAAAGGAGAGTATAAATTTCACATATATTCCTTCCTGTTCCATAATAATGACTCTTTAAATTATTTTCAAAAGAATGAAATGTTCACTTGTCAAAATAGCCTAATGGAAGACAAAAGCAAATGAATAAATGACATAATCCATAATTATTTTCAAGACTATACTTTTCTCGTTTTGCAAGTATTTTTTTCTCTTTAGAAACACTGTGTGCTTACTTAGATAACTATAATTTTATTTTCCTGCAATACTAAAGAATTTAATTACAGATGCAATGTATTAACCAGTTGCCCTAAAAGTAGTGCACAGTGTTGTCTCTGCTTAATCAAGGAACATTCTTCATCTGCTGAGTATATTTAACATGTTTTTTACTTTAAAAAATAACAGAACAAGTTTACAGTATGGGATTATGTGCTTAAAAAGGTTGAATTACGACAGAAAAGAGCTGGAAAGAAGACGAGAAGCAAGCCAACATGAAATAAAAGGTAATATACTTTCTTTCATATCAGATGCCTTTTGGGGGGAAGGTGGTTAGCTTTCACTTTTATTAACCTAAAATGCTGTGTGTTTTACAATGATCATTAAGTAACCTAAGTGTTTGGCTAGAATTGTGTCATCATTATTTCTTTTTTATTACTTTTCTGATTAAAATACAGGAAAGAATATCATCTCTTTGCAAGGCAAATATCTCATTTGATAAATATCTCAAATGATCTTTTAAATTGAAATTTATTCCTCTGAACTTATTAATTATACATTCTGTTTTTCTAAAGGTGCCTCCATATAGATATTTTTGTTAAACTTTTAATAGAACATTCTCATTATGATTCAGAGAAATATGGTATATAATGTATTTCTTGTAGTGAATCTCTGGTTTCTGTCATTTGAATTTAAGGGATACCACTTTCTAGTTTTCTTTCTGAAGTATATTTTCCTAGTAGATTTTATTATGCTTTGTCTCACCACATGGAATATTCATATAAAGATAGATATAAAGAAGAAGAATTACCCATTTAGTCCTACATCAAATATTGTATTAGTATATGACAGTTGCTGTTTAGAGTGTAGCTCTGAGAAAAAATAAACTTCCATAATTCACTAAGATTAAACACAGACAACTTCCTATGATAAGTAGCTGTGAGTGAGATTATAAATAGCCCCTATTTCCTGTAACTGATGTGATGACATTTACAGGAATAACTCTTGACTGTGACTAGGAGACCTCTGTTATTATCTGAAGTGTTAATTAACCTTGACCTTAATAAACAGCTTTCAAAAGTGAAGAGACCATGTGAATATCAAGAATGTACTAACATTTAATTTGTTGCTAAGGAACAGTCAGCTCTGATCTCTGGCCATTTATTGTTTAGGTCCAGGGGATCTCTAAAAAGATTTAAAGTCAGGACATAAATTTTGCTTAGGAACAGATTTCTATAAAGGGATTTTATTTACAAAATGGAAGAAAAGGTATATTGCTGTTCTGAAGAAGAAAAGTTTGAATTAGTGCCTATTTGTCTTCACCCTATAAATAAATGGCTTATTTTATGTACTTGATGATTCTTAACTACAGTTGTGGCAATGGAATTTTTGACTAAACATATTGATGTAGGTGTTCCAGGGGTCCCAGGACCCAAAGGTCCATTACCCACTGTGGATGCTTGGTTTCCCGCAGGAAAGAATTCAAAGGCTAGCCAGTGTGGAGTTCAAAGGGAAAGAGAGCTTACTAGTGAAGCAGTGAGATAGACAGAAGGCTACTCCACAGACAGAACAGCCTTTCCCCTGCCCCCAGTAGGATTTAGTTCATTCATTGTGGCTCATTTAATCGAGGGGTAGGGCATTCAATGAGGGGGAGGAATATTCAGAAATTTTCTGGGAAAGGGTGGAGACTTCTTGGAAGAGCATGGTTGGCAATTCTGTGTCTTTATATGGGGTCTCTGCTTCCTATCACTGTAGTATGCCTTTCAATATGTTAATTGTATTGCAAAATGAGCAAATAATGAGGCTAGGTGTTACCACAAGGTGGAATTAATCACCTGTGTTGGATTGAGCTAGCCTCTTGCTGGTTTTAAGCCATAAATCTGTTGGGTGGGGATGGGGGGTGTCTTACTATCTCTGAGATAATCCTGGTAGCCCTTATGAGTTACAGCCATTTCACCACATACCCTATCTCGATATATTTGCAGAAAAAAATGGTGACTGTTTAATATTTCTTAGACTACCAAAATATAAACCCAGCTCTAAAAAAAAAACAAACACTTCCTATTCAGAAATCCATTTAGTAGAAAGAAAACTGGACAGTTTTGTTGTTTTCTTGAGAAAACTATTATCCTGTGAGTTTTTTAAAATGTTGCATTTAGTGAAAACAACTAACCATTGCTGTCATCTGTACATACCTGGCCAACTTTTGAAGTGCAAGTGTGCTGTAATCAAGAGTTAGAACTAATCAGTTGCTATCAACAGTAGCAGATTAATATAACCAAAGTATAATGCTAACCAACTTACATCCTATTTGCTGGCCAAAGGTCAGTGGTCATAGCCAGTCCTTGCAGCTGATTGGCCTGGGAATAAATCCCTCCCATTGACTTGCCAACAGCAATCAAGGCTTAACTACAAGAGGAGAGTGAACACAGCCCTCATGGGGAATGCACCTCAAGTACCCAGCTGGGGTGATCTGGGAGGTAGTGCCACTGGGCTGTGCAGGACACCTACTACATTAGGTCACTCTACCAAGCCTGAGAGACACTGCATCTCTACCTAATACATAGAAACAAACACAGGGAAACTATGAAAATGAGGAGACAAAGAAACATACCCCAAATGAAAGAACAGAATAAAACTCTAGAAAAAGTAGTAAATAAAATGGGGACAAGCAATCTATTAGATGCAGAGTTCAAAACACTGCTTATTAGGATGCTCAATGAACTTAGTAAGAACCTGAACATCATAAAAAAGGACCAGTCATAAATGAAGCATACACTAACTAAAATGAAAAATAATGTATTAGGAATCAACAGTAGCGTAAATGAAGCCAAGAATCAAATCCACAATTTGAAATATAAGGAAGCAAAAAACACCCAATCAGAATAGAAAAGAAAAAAAAAAGATTCCAAAAATAAAGACAGTGAAAGGAGCCTTTGGGATAACTTCAAGGCTACCAACATTCGCATCATAGGAGTGACTGAAGAATAAGAGAGACAGCAAGAAATTGAAAATAGATTTGAAGAAATAAGGATTGAAAAACTTCCCTAACTTGGTGAAGGAAATAGACATACAAGTCTAGCAAGCACAGTGAGTCCCAAACAAGATGAACACAAAGAGGCCCACACCAAGACACATAATTAAAATGCAAGTGGTTGAAGACAAAGCAAGAAGCCTAAAAGCAGCAAGAGAAAAACAGTTAATTACCTACAAGGAATTTGTCAAGTTATTTTTCAACAGAAACTTTTCAGGCCAGAAAGGATTGGCAAGACATATTCAGTGAGCCCTGGCTGGTTTTGCTCAGTGGATAGAGCATCATCCTGTGGACTGGGGGATCCCGGGTTCAATTCCGGTCAAGGGCATGTACCTTGGTTGTGGGCGCAACCCTGATGGAAGGTGTGTAGGAGGCAGCTGATCGATGTTTCTCTCTCATCAATGTTTCTAACTCTCTACCCCTCTCCCTTCCTCTCTGTAAAAAAATCAATAAAATATATTTAAAAAATTCAGTGATGAAAAGCAAGGACCTACAACCAAAAATTACTCTACCCAACAGAGCTATCATTTAGAATTGAAGGACAGATAAAGAGCTTCCCAGAGGAGGAACCAAGATGGTGGCATAAGGTATACACTTGTACGTGCTGCCTCCCACAACCACACCAAAACTACAACTAAAAGATAAAATGGCTATCATCCAGAACCATGGGAAAGCTGGCTGAGTGGAAGTTCTACAACTATAAGGAAAGAAAAAAGTGCATTGAGACTGGGTAGGAAGTGCAGAGGCACCAAGAGCTGAGGTACGGAGGTGGGCGAAATGGGCTGGCAAATAGGTGCACTGTTTTTTTCAATTGGAAGGGAGATAGAAGCTCCCTACTGCTCTGAACTCCAGTTTCTGGCAAGACTCTGGGGACCCAGAAACTGAACTGTCTGGCATCGTGTAGGAAAGCGAGGGTGGCTTTCTCACAGAGGTGCTCGCAGGGATCATTGTTACTGTGTGGGGGTGTGGGATGCAAAGACGCGGAGATGCCTGACTGGCAGCCATCGCTGTTTGCTCCACCCTGGTGATTCCCTGAGATCCTGCCCCACCCAATTTACAAACCCACCCTATCTGTGCACAGCAGCTTATGCATATGAATGGCCTGTCCTTTCACAGCCTAACCTAACAAACTGCAGCTGGGTCAGAGAGCTCCAAAACTTTCAAACCCCAAACAAAGAGAAGAAATCTGCAGATCTTGCAGTAGCTCCTGCTGGGTGGCCTCAGGCAGTGGCTGACTTTGCACCTCCTTGGAGATCCAGGAGCCAGTGTGCCCAGTGGTCATATACCAGATTTCAACTCCTCACATCCATAAGTGACACACTCAAGAGGCAGACTCAGTGAGCACCAAAGCCCCACTGAAGCAAGTCCTGCCCCATAAGGGTGTCTCCAACACAGCAGTTCTTCCACTATAGACACAGTGGATCCTCACAGCCAATTGGCCTGGAGGTCATTTCCTCCCAGTGATACCAACAGCAATCAAGGTTTAACTACAACAAGACTGTGCACACAGCCCACAAAGGGATGCACAAAGGGTGTCCACCTCAGGTGATTGGGGAGGCTGAGCCACTGGGCCCTACAGAACACCTACCACACAAAGCCACTCTATCAATATAGGGAAGCAGCGAAAATGTGGAGACAAAGAAAAATGTCACAAATGAAAGAAATGGAGGAAAGCAAACTACTGGATATAGAGTTCAAAACCACAGTTATAAGGTTACTCAAGAACCTTCTAAAAACCTCCGCGGAACTTAGTGAGACCTCCGAGGAACTTAGTGAGACCTTCAAGGATCTTAATGAGAATGCAAAAAAATTGGAAAAGGACCAGTCAGAAATTAAGTATACACTGTCTGAAATAATGAATAATATACAGAAATTCAACAGTAGACTAAAAGATCCCAAGAATCAAATCAAAGATTTGAAATATGAGAAAGCAAAAAACACCCATCCAGAAAAGCAAAAAGAAAAAATAATCCAAAAATATGAAGATAGTGTAAGGAGCCTCTGGGAAACTTCCAAGGTTCAATTCTGGTCAAGGGAACATGCCTGGGTTGCAGGCTCGATCCCTAGTAGGGGGTGTGCAGGAGGCAGCCTTTCAGTGATTCTCTCTCATCATTGACGTTTCTATCTCTCTTCCTCTCCCTTCCTCTCTGAAATCAATAAAAAAATATTTTTAAAAAAGACCCATCACTTGAAAACATGTGGCCTGAGACCTACATGAAAAGAAACAAAAGAATGAATGCTATAAAACAGACCATTAGAGACAATTGAACATAGGAATATAGTACAGGTATAATTGAAATCCCAGAAAGAGAGATAAGAGAGAATGAGGAAGACGAAATATTTGAAGATAATGGTGGAGATTTTGGGGGAAAAAATACTGAAAACAAACCACAGATTCACAATACCCTATGCATGTCAAACAAGTAACAAAGGAAAGGGGGTGAGGAGGGAATATATCTAGATACATTGTAGTAAAACTGCTGAATATCATGACCCCCCAAAAATAAAAAAATAATAAAAATAAAAAAAACACCTTTGAATCTGCCAGAGAAAACTCCACATTACTTTCAAAGGAGCAGCATGAGGTGTCTGACTCCACAACTAAAATAACACCAGAGAAAAATGGAATGACATCCTTAAAATTTTTCTTAAAGCTAACTTCTTATCTAAAAGCTTATAACTGTATGCCCATCAATATTAAAGGCAAAATTAATACAAGTTCAGACAAATAAAATCTGAGAGATTACACTACCAGAAAATCCAAAGAGAAAATAAATATTAGAATGAGTTATTAAGGCAAAAAGAAACTAATCCTACAGAACATTTTTAAATACAGGCAGTATAAGGAGAGTGGAAGGAATGTATGGGAAATTTTAATAATGATAATAAAAGCAATAAATAGTAATGTCTGTGGGATTTGAATTTCACATAGAAATAATATATATTATAGCAACTATAATGCAAAAGACAAGAAGGGAATACATGGAATTAAATTAAAGTTCTTTGCATTATCTAGGAGTGATAAAAGTACTGATTTTCAGTAGATTATAAATCAAAGATGCATATTACAGGCTTTAAAAGCTAAATGAGTGGTAGAATAAAATAATTTTTAAATGACATAGTTTGTTAAAAGGCAAGGAAGGAGAGAAAAGGAACAAAAGACAGGTAAGACAAATTGAAATATAGTAGCTTTAAACTCAAATATCTGAACAATAGTATGAAGTGAAAGGAAATTAACTAATCTGATTAAAGAGACCATTGAAAAATTAAAACAATTATATGCTCTTTCCAACCATAAATATAAGGTCATAGAAAAGTCGGAAGTAGAGGCAATAAGCAAGCGCTAAGTAAAGTTGCTGTGGTTTTTGTAATATCAGAAGATAATTTAAGGCAGGAAGCATTACTAAATATAAAATGGGTATTTTATAATAAAAGGGAAGATGTGGCAAATTTGTATGCATGTGATATATAGACTTAAAATAGGAAAAGCAAAATCAGACAGATCTAAACATAGAAGTAGATATTTTTGTAATCATAGTGGGAGAGACTAAAAATATTACAAATTCATAAGACACATAGATATAATCAGTTAGTAAAGATATGGGAGATTTGGAAAATATGATTAAAAATTTGAACCTAGCCCTAGCCAGTTGCTCAGTGATTATAGCATTGGCCCTTGGACTGAAGGGTCCCAGGTTGCAGGCTTCAACCCCCCTGGGGCACATGGGGGAGGCAACCAATTGATGTGTCTCTCTGTCTTTCCCTCTCCCTTCCATTCTTTCTAAAAATAAATGGGAAAAAATATCCCCAGGTGAGGATTAACAAAAAATTTGACCTAATTGAGATGAGGGAACCTCTATGGGGCTGAGGCATCACTTTATGGCTTTAATGTTATACACAAGAAAACCTCACTTGGTTAAATGAATGCATTAAGACAAACTAGTAATGCTTTTGAAAAATGTATATAAATACACTTTCTCACCTTCCCTTAAAAAAATACTACCTTGCTTTTTGCAGGTAAATTAAATATAAGAAGTTGAAAACTAATTTCCAAAATCTCCTTTATACTTTTCTAAAAAGGTGTACATTTCATTTAGAAAGAAAAAATGAACAGAAAAACTTACTTGTACTGTAATAATAATTTATGAGTTTCATTTGTCTTTCTATAGGATTAGGAAAATGTTTCCATTCCTTTTTCTAATGTCCACTTAAGTTCCTTACATTTTTTTCCTATGGAACATTCTATTCTTTCTATTTTAGTCGTTGTTATATAGCATTCTGTCAACTCATAATGGGAAGAAATGGAAAAAATCATAAAATACACATTTATATGTTTTTGTCTAAAAAAGGCATTTATGATATTTTTCCCTAAAGGTTTTAGTTTTGAAAATAAAATTTAATGTGTTTCATACCTCAGTAAAATACTGCTTTTTAAGCTAATAGGAAAATCAGCTTGTGATTTGACTGAGTGATTGGTTTTTGCATCGGTATGTGATTTTAAATAATGAATTGCCAAAATAGCAGGGAAGTATCAACTTAGCTGGTCCTCCTTTTATCTTGCTGCTTTGGTCTCTGATTTATTACTTCAGGTGAAAACAAAAGTATCTCCTAGTCTATCTGAAATGTTTACATAGTGGTTCAAAAACAGGATGAAGACCCTTTCTAGGTTCTCATTTTGCTCTTTACTGAAGCTGTGTATCAAGAAATATCCCCATCTGGTGGCAAAAATATTGAACTTCAGACAGACCCTTGGAGCTTCTAAGTGAAAACAAGAAACACAGACATTGTGTTCCATGTGATGGAAGGGCTCTCCTATCAGTGACAACAAACTCTTAAAGTGACAACTTTTTTCTAGATTAAAAGTACAAATGGTTAGTTGTTAGAACAGTAAATACATGCAACCTAAGGGGTCCAGCCAGGTGCATTAGGGAGTGGATAAAGAAATCAGCATAAATGCTGACTTGGCCAGATGACTGTGGCCCATTTCAGCCAGTAGTTTTGTTTATTATGCAAAATATTGCAGCCTAAAATGATGCACCTCTTTTCCTAGATGTGTTGGTGTGGAGTAATGATCGAGTTATCCGCTGGATCCAAGCAATTGGCCTTCGAGAATATGCAAATAATATCCTTGAGAGTGGCGTGCACGGCTCACTGATAGCCCTGGACGAGAACTTTGACTACAGCAGCTTAGCTTTGTTACTGCAAATTCCAACCCAGAACACCCAGGCAAGCCCTCTGAGCTGTGCCCTCATTTACATCATAACAAGCTGAACTTTAGGGGGGAAACGTTGGCGGGGTATTAATGATTCCTAAGGAGATTTAGCTCAAATATGTCACTGGGGCTTCCATTTCAAGTTACTGAATTTCTATCCAAAACAAAATCATACAATTAAGCTGGAAGTCATTTGGAGGTTATGTGGTCCAACCTCGCACCAGAATGCCAGGTTCCCCAAAACAGTGTCCCGGACAGATGGCCTCGGCCCCTGCCTCTCTTAGAGGCAGTCATTTCTATTTACTTATCTGAATTATGCAGACACTTAGCATTGGGGATGCCATGGATTCCCAAATCTGGATAATTATTTAAATCACCGGAGTTCCTAAAAATTTTAAAATAAAACCTGCAACCTGTATCACAGGCCTAATAAATCAGGATAAGTCACAGAATTTTACTTATCTAAAAGTTTTCCCAATGGTAATCATTGACCAGGTTTGAGAACTTCCTGCCTAGACTTGTCCAAAATTCCGCAGTCTAACTTCACTTTTTATTTTGTTTTTATGTATTTCAAGGTTTATAGAAAAGTTTCCATTTCAATAGAGTAGCAAAGTGAGGACATTTGTATGATGCTATTTCTCTACTGTTCATAAATGAAAGCAAGTTGCCCTCCTTTTATTTATAGGTTAAATTTACAATGGCTTTTAGACATGGAGGAATAAAAATTTAAGACTCCATACATGAGACAGGGTTTGGAATACTTTCTCAGATAAATATAATCTCTATTTTTTTAAAATGCAATGTGATGTCAGTGTTGGTGACTGTTATTTGATGTCAACAGGCCAGGCAGATTCTTGAAAGGGAATACAATAACCTCCTGGCTCTGGGAACCGAGCGGCGACTGGATGAAGTAAGTCCTTATCTCTCATTCAAAAGGATCTTGTGAGTACTAGCAAAATGGCCTTCAAGGCATAGTACCCCAAAATTAATCAGATGCTTGCTCCATGGATAGGATCTAGAATTTCACCCAGTATTGTTCCTAAATGTTACATTTTATTACTCATTTTATTTTTGAAAGAACTTCATGAATTCATAAATGTTATCATATCAACAGGCAGAAACACTAAGATGTAATTCAAAACAAGACTGTTTTTCATGAGCTGTGAATGCAAAATAACATTAAGCAACAGTTTTTAAAAATTGTAAGTAATGATAACACCAGTCCTAATAAGTTTAGCTTTTAATAAGAAATGTGCTTATTTCTTAAATATCAGTATATCTTCACAGGAAATTTTAGGATATTAAAATGAAGAGAACGTCTTTGAATAAGTGGAGAACTTTTCATAATTTTAGGTAGCAATATTGAGTCTTCCTTAAAAACATAATAACATTTTACCAGTTGTAGGATTTGAGTGTAAGAATCCCTATACATTATATATGCATGTTTAAACGATTTGAAAAATAATAAACATCTAAGTAGCCTCCTGAGATGGAAGAAATACAAGGGACCTGGCACGGTAGCTCAGTTGGTTAGAGTGTCATCCTGAAATGTCAAGGTGGCAGGTTTGATCCCTGGCCAGGGCACATACAATAAACCAATAAATTCATAAATAAGTGGGACAACAAGTTTATATTTCTCTCTCTCTCTCTCTCTCTCTCTCTCTCTCTCTCTCTCTCTCTCTTTCTGTCTCTCTCAAATCAATACATTAAAAAGAAAGTGGGTTTTTTTTAAATAAACATAAAAGAAAGAAATACAAGCGATATTAGCAGACTCTGCTTGATAGTCACTGTGAACTTTAATAGCCCTGAGTTTTACACTGTCTCTTAGGAAGCAGTGAGGAAACGTGAGCTTGAAGAGATGCATAATTGTGTGTCACAAAATGCAGCTCTTTCTTGGCTACAAAGAAAAGCTGATTAAAATAGTTTTGTGAATGAATGCAGAAAACTCTAGTGATGCAATAATTCCACATCCAAATGGACAGGGCTGATGATCTTGTTATTATAAAACCCAAACTACCTTTGTGGGGAGGTTGAAGGCCAGTAAACTCTACAGCCTTGACCTCAGCTAACTCTCTATAAATTCATACTCCTGTCCAATCAGGATAATGAGTAATATTTTTTTAAGCCAGTTAATATTTAACTGATGTTAGTTGGATAAGTAGGTTGATAATCTTTTAAATCCTTATTATTAATTGCTGAATCAAAGATAGTGTGCATATACCAGTACACACTTTTAAATACAACATTCTTCTTGCTTAAAAGTTGCAAAAACATTGTAATAAAAAGCACTAAGGGCCTGTCACGTTGCTACATTCTAAAATGCAGACTGACCTGAAGGAGCTGTCTGGTAGGGACATAGCCTGGGTGATTGATAGAGCTGCTTCCTGAAAGTAACAAGAGGAGAGTTCTGAATGGAATGTGATTATCTGTCTTTAAATCATACAGCTTCTTCTTATTGTTGTTAAAGATACAGCAAATGATGTTATCATTCAAACCTTTTATTATTTTCTGTCCTAGCTTTTTGTTTGTTGCTTTTTGTTTTTTTGTGGGGTTTTTTTGGTTTGGTTTTTTGTTGTTGTTTTTTAGTATAAACAAATGAACTAAACAGCTTGCCCACAACCAGAGCGGACTTGTTTCTGGGGTTGATCACATTCAGATTCAACTCAAATAATTTGAGAACTCATGTGCTTCCACAGACTCTGACTTCAATTGAGAGGATATATTTTAAACTCATCTCATAGATTTTTCCCCATGATGTTGCTGCTTTATTGTTCCCATTAACTTTCTGCAGTAACACTGTGTGGAAAGAGCAGAAGTCAAGAATCATGATATCATGATTTAAATTCTTAAATGTATGGCTTATTTTTGAGCCCTTCACTCATCTATATATATAAAAGCCTAATATGCAAAGTGTCCCCTTGGGAGTTCCACTGACCAGGAGTTTGATCGCTTGCTATGATATGCATTGACCATCAGGGGGCGGTGCAGAATGAAGGAAGGCCCTGGCTGGCAGCCGGCAGCCACTAGGGACCCTACCCTGCACAAACTTCCTGCATGGGCCTCTAGTACATTATAAGAGTTGTTATTCCTACAATGGAAAATAGTGTTATGTAGAACTGAAGGATATCTGAGTTGATGCAACAACTTCTCCAAGACTCAAGAAGTCAGAGAAGCCACAACTGTGAAACGTTGCTTCTTTTCTGCATTAGTGAACATTTGGAGATCTAGGTCAACGTAAAACCAAACAGAGGAGGAGGAGCAGACATTTCTCAAACTGTAAAATGTCTACCAAATCTAAACAAAATTTAGATATTGATAATAAGAATTCTAAGAGAGCAGTGGATATATATCATTACAATGACCTTGTGTGTCACTTAATTAAATTCGCAATCTATGATGAAGAATCCCTTATAGTGTTACTTATTTATAACAGTGATAATTTGAGCTGAATGTCAATCATTCCTTATGTTAAAATGAAGTCACCTGAGTGACTTAGTGGGTCAACCATGCATACTTAGCTATAACTTCAAGGAATAGACAGTCCTTCCCTAGATGAGAAACTTAGTAATATGAGAAGATAAGATCTATGTGGGATGGCTAATATTTTCCTTAGAATTAGATACAAAAATGATATTAATTAAATGCTAAATTACATATTGGTGCTAATCAGTGTAGAGAAAAGAACTGTGTGTAGGTACTTAGGGTATGCACAGAGAGGGGGGGAAAAGTATCATCCATATATCATAGAATCAGCAACTAGAATTACATTTATAAAACAGCAACCAGAGTTACATTATGCTTTTAGTGGCATCTAAAGGGAACATGCATTTATTACAATGATGTTGCCCAGGCTGCACAGGTTTTTCAACAAATAAAAAGATAATTCTGTATCAGCTAAAATCTAACATGTGACAAATTGAGTTTCTTACTTAGAATATGGGTTATAGTATCCGATATGAGCCAGGCTGTATCAAATATAGATTTCTATAACATATATATCTTGTACATATAGAAACAACATTTATAAAATAGATATTCAAGTATATGAGCCAACACTTATTCCACTAAGTATATTGTACCATAAAACCAGTTTGCATAAAGTGCAACAAGGTATAATTTTTGGAAAAATGTTGGGATTTTATTTTAGGTTTTCAAAGATGTTTCCTTTTATAGATGACAAACCTTGGATTTGAAATCATATGAAAACTTTACAAAAACATTTGTTTCAAACTTCCTGCATTTTCATTTTGTAATCAAAATAAGGCATAACATTATATATGTACTAGAGGCCTGGTGCATGAAATTCGTGCACTCAGGGGAGGAGGTACCTCAGCCCGGCCTGCGCCCTCTCGCAATCCAGGAGCCCTAAGCCGTCAGTCGGACATCCTTAGCGCTGCCACGGAGATGGGAAAGGCTCCTGCCACTGGTGCTGCGCTCGCCAGTGTGAGCCTGGCTTCTGGCTGAGCAGTGCTCCCCCTGTGGGAGCGCACTGACCACCAGGGGGCAGCTCCTGTGTTGAGCATCTGCCCCTTGGTGGTCACTACACATTATAATGACTGGTTGACCAGTCTACTGTCTTCCCCCTGGTGGTCAATGCATGTCATAGCGAGCAGTTGAGTGGCCTTAGCATATCATTAGCATATTACGCTTTGATTGGTTAACAGACAACCAGACACTTAGCATATTAGGCTTTTATTATATAGGATACTTGATGGGCTGAATGTAAATAATCAATGTTCCACGTTTTAACTCTGTACTGGCAGAGCGATGACAAGAATTTCAGGCGTGGGTCAACCTGGAGAAGGCAGTTTCCTCCCCGTGAAGTACATGGAATCAGCATGATGCCTGGGTCCTCAGAAACATTACCAGCCGGATTCAGGTTAACCACAACATCTGGGCAGTCAAGGAAAATGGCGACGGATGGTACAGATGTTTTGCATTTCTGCTTATAAAGTGAAAAGCTCGTTTAGCAAATGCTAGTATCATTCTCTGACCTTGCATAGCTTTTCGGAATTGTTTTCTTGAGTTGGTTTGCTCTGCTTGAAGTTTGCTTTGCTTTCATCAGACCAGACTCTTTTGCAAACTGCTAATGCATGAACTCATGGCACTTTATTTACATTTAAACAATGATTTATAATATCCTAAAAGAAAAATGTTCACACCTAGGAAGATTAATAAGCATCAGCATGATTTGTGTTTCTTTTCTATTCCTAAAATAAATAATTTGTTTAATTAGAGGTATTAAATGGAAATTAACTCCACTGCCATCCACATATTTGAATATTTCAAGTTTTATATGTCACCTTAGGAACTCAGACTCATCAGATACTCTCACCTTTGACCGAGGTAGAAGGCCGTAAATAAACAAGCACAACCATGAGAAGAGAATTAAACAAACACAAAACCAACAGTCATTTCCCAATGAGCACTTCCTTCTGTGGACATTAGAACTGTGTTACCTACTTTCCAAAGGAAAATAGCCATTTCGGAGGAGAGACAACTAGGCATGCAGTCACAAAGTTATTTCTGTTTGATAAGCATTAAAAAGCAAATAGCCCCACTCTATTATGGCAATCACCTAGAACTGTTTCTTCCCAAGTTTACAGTTATCATGGCCTTTAAAATTCATTTCCACATAAACTTTGACCTTTGATTCACATGTTTTCTAACTTGTTAATATTATGGAACATGCTAGGGAAATTTATGAGTAATTTAACATGATTAAAATTAGTGTAGAACCCCTTCAATACTCTGAAGGGAAAACACCCACCCTACTAAATCCTCTAAGAGCCATCTTTGCTTTAAAAACAGAAGCGCCCTGGGGAGCTGCTCTTGTTGCAGATTTCATCTCAGGAGAAGGCACAGCCTGAAAGCTCAGTTGAATCGCATTGGAATACATTTTCATTAGTAACTTGGTCTAGAGAAAAGGAATGTGAGTGGCTTATACCTGAGAGAAAGAATGTCTACTGATAAGTTCAGGCTCCCTTTCTCCCTTTATGCAGAGAAAAGAAATCTTTCTCATCTGAAATTCTGTACTCAATCGTCCAAGTCCCTCTAAAGCCCTTTTCTCCATTTGCAGTTGCCTCTTCAAGACTGCAGAGGTTAGACAACTCCACTGTTCGCACATACTCATGTTGACAAGCCACTCAAAGGAGGCAGCACTGACTTGCTGTGAGTAGTTTTCCTTGGCTGACAAAAACCAAACCACCACAAAAATGGAACCTACATAGACTAGTAAATATACACAATACTCTTTGGTACGGCCTAGCAGAACAGAGGTGAGATAACCCCTTTGAATTGCTAGAGGGTGGAAAGGAATCTATATTTTAACTCTTCATCTAGGATTTTCTATCATCATCTGTCTGCTGTGGTTCAAGGTCTGTTTGTTTGTTGGAGGCCTGTCACTATCTTAGTACACACCAATGGGTTGCTACCACAGTCTTCTACTTTTTAGAAGCATATTATATTGACGCTCATAGCAATATTTATTGATGAGAGTTTGGCGCTTACAGAAAAATACACTTTTAAGTGAGTATTTTAAAAAGGGAAGCTGAAATACGCAGGGAGTGATTTTCAGAGTCAAATAGTGGCAGAGACAGGAAAATGATTTGGAGATGATTTCATCTTAAAAATAAAAACATAACTGAGAACTTTGAACTTTTAGTATGCTGTTTTTCACCACTATGATTTATATTTGTTGAAATTAAATATGAATTTTAAGTATCTCGGGCTTAAAGCATAGGAACAGAGTTAAATTACTTTGTAAGAGTTGTGGACAGGACTAACAGAAAACCTTGAAATGTAATCATAAGGTGTAACGCATGTGTAGTTACAGAAATACTAGTTGGTGGAATTGACTTGCAAATCTATACCAAAATGGAGTTTCATTAGCAGTCTTAGAAAAACTGGCTTCCTAGATTATAAATGTCAAGTTCTCAAAAAACGTTTTTTAACCTAAAACTGTACTTTACCAAAATACTTTATGATTCACAATGAATTAATATTTTAGAAAAATACTTTGTAGAGCAATAATTAGAAGAAAATGTATGCACAGAGAAGGGAGAGGAAGCAGTTATAGGCAGAGGAACAGCTCATCTTGTGCTGTTTATTCATTGCCTTGAGCGAAAAGCTCCATACAACTTATTGTTGGTCTTTGGGGCCTAATTTGGGAGCTGATATGTTGCCTTATTTAGGTCACTATTTGAAGCTGCTGATGATAAAATAAAAAGCCTTCAGATAAGAGATTTAATTTCAGAATATAAAACCCTAACATTAAAATTTTAATTGCAGTATGCAATTTGGCATCTAATTGGGCATGATCTAAAGTATATAATAATTTGGCTAATTTGGCTAAATGAGAAGCTTTTTAAAATACTGTTTGGAATAGCTTCTATATATAACATAATTTTGCCAGAAATGAATACTTCACTAAGTTACAAATGTCTACTTAATATGTTGAGTAGTGCTTGCTTTTTAGCTCTTGATTGATGGGTAGAATAACTCTTTAACTATTTGCGATCTGTATTTTGTGCATGGCATTCAAGTTCATATTTTTTAGTTTTTACCATTCAATAGGAAAAAAACTTATTTACCATAGGTTAATCTAGGAAAACCAATTTTTATTTTGACATAACATTAGCAACTTTGTCATTAAAATAATTTAGAACATTGTTTATTATTTATTTTGTGTCAGGAATAGTAATTGTGGACTTTCCCTAAAAATATTATGATAGGAAAAAGTCAATGATGCTACATCTCTGACCCAGAACCTTTAAAATGTTATTTATTATCATTATATTACTGTCATAATTAAACCAACATATCTCCAAAAGAGCTCTAAAATACTAGTGTATGAGCTAGAATACAAATCTATTCCAAGGAATAGGCCAACTATGCCCAATTTATTATTAAGCAAGCTGTAAATATTTCAAAGGGACTGCTGACAGTTTCTTTGAACACCTTTTTTTAATATTCCCATCATACTTTCCACAAAAGTGAGCAAATATTACTTGTTAAGCTTGCCTGCACAGAATTGGAGAAGAGCAAATGTTCATTACATACAGCTGTTGGTTACATCCTGGATGATATCCTGTTCATTATCTCTTAGGACAGGAGGAGGCAGGCTGCATGGCGGCAGCAGGTGTAACGGGGGAGGGAGACTTTTCAGTCTGGGACCTTTCAGTAAACTAACGCTGTCCATTGAATATTCCAGATGTCGTCTTTTCGGTCTACCCTACCTAAAGTGCACTACCATCCAAGAAGACGAGCAGTGAACACCTTTGTGAAAACTGAATTCTAAGGAAATAACCACAAGTAATGGTTTATTCAACTGAAAATGTGATTTTGGGGGGAGTCAGATATCATGTTTGATTAGTTCACTACAGTTGTAAGAAAATGCTTAAGTCATTTGAATAATAAACATCATCCACATCATAACTTCTGTACAACAGATGCTTTTATGAAATGGAGCCACCTGTTTTTTCATGTTTTATTGTAATATACTAGGCATTTATGTATCACTGTGTATGTATTTCTTTTTAAATGTGTAAGTCTTATGTAAATGGATATAAATATGATTTTTTAAAAAATAAAATATATGGTTCATGGAGTCTCAAGTGCAAACATTTGACAATACCAAGTACTGTTTGTATTTTACCATGCCACCATTTTTACAGTTTTTGAATTATAACAGTCAAATTGGTATGTTTCCTGGAAGCATGTTTCATGCCTCCACATGTTTCACCTTCAAAGTCTGTCAATACTTAAAGCTGAAAACCTGCCTCTGATCATGTAAAAAAGAATGATTTAACCTGGAACTGGAGCCAAAAATAGACCTTTCAAGGCAATCAGGGATGTCCTCTATCTTTAGAAATAGCACTGTGATGGCTCGATCTCCTTTTCAATACAAGACAAAACCAAACTGTTTACAAGAGTCAAAAAGATTATTTAAACAAAATTTATAAAGAAAAAGACATTATCTTCTCTTGTTACCTGTGGACCAATAATTTTTTTTTCTTTCCTGAGAACCACATGTCCATTCAAATATCCTGAACCGCCAGCAAGAACTGTTCAGTGAATGTCAACCACTGCAAAGTCCCAGGCTCGTTCCCGCTGGAAGAAAACAAAACCCCGCCACCCTCCCCCTCTGTCAGTGTACCAGGGCCACAGCCGGAGTCATGTCTAATGTTCTAAGCTTTTAGCCGAGATGGCCTTGTTTCGACTTCCCTGAAGTCAGTCTTATCAGAGGAAAGAAATGAAAGACAGAACGATTAACATATATAGTGTATAAAGTATAGAAGAGTAATCTCTTCCCTGTGGCTTTATTTGGTGGTGTTACTGTTGTTTATTCTTTGTTTATATGGGAGATTTCAGAGTAAAACCTATTTAAGAGTACATTTATCTATCTGCTGATTTTCTGCTGTTTGATCTTATTAAGTGCAAGACCTGTCATTAGTAATTTCATTTTTGTATTTAATTTGCTATGTTTGCACGTACATTACATTTGTTTTGATGTCTATTTTTGTTTAAACAGATCCAGTCATAAAGTAATGGTAACAAAAGCCCTCTCCATTGTCAATAAAAAAGAATACTTCCAATTCTCTGTTTAAGCTTTGTTTTCTAGTCACGTAAATTTGAACAATTTACTGAATATCATTCTTTTAAGGAATCTCCTCAAAAGTGAGTCAGCCACAAGGGGGAGTACTAAACTTGCTTATGAGAGTGATTTTACAATTTTCTGAAAATGTTGCCTGGGCAGAAACAATGGAAAAGAGCTTTTTAAGCTCATCTGAACATGGGGATGCTGACTCACAGAAATGAAATATAATATAAAAACTATGATATTATAACAATATAAACTACATTTGTATCTACTCATACAGGATTTAATCACAGAAGTTTCTCCCCTTTAGAGATCATAAGCAAGAAATAGTGATCATTTATAACAGACTCAAATATATAGGGATAAAAAAGATCCATCTATGTGTCTCATAAAATGCTCTTTAATTTATAGGATAATATCTTTCATATTCTAAAATCCATTTAATCCACTTAAAATTCATTTAGGGACCATCTAGCAATATTATACATTTTCACATAATTAATAATCTAAGCCTTTACAAATACAGTTTTATATAAACCAAACTGCTTTTTAAATGAAAAGCAGATCTTAATTGTATATACCCAATATATTTTCATGAGCAAAATAACTTGAAAAACACTTCTATAGATTTTAAAAGAAAATCTTTATATTTTAATTTTTCCAATGGCTTACAGTAAAAAAATTATGAAAATATGAAAGGTCATACAGAATTTATTTCATCAAATTTAAATATGACTGCATTTTTAGTAACATTATATTGTTATTTTTAAAGGTACATTTAATTCAGAATATTTTAGGTACTATGTACTAAAAGTGCTTTATGATATAAGTATTAAAGTAGAAATTTCCTTTTTCCCCCCAAATTTTAAGCAATCTGATGACTTGAGTGTCTTTCTGGCCCCATAATTATTAGTATAAACGTGACATCCTCTGACCCTGCAAAGGAGATATATATTTCCTCAACCAGACACAAGAAAAAGCTGCTTTCCCAGTCTTGTGCATTGTCTTCTTCTCACTCAACTAGAAGACAGCTCCAGCCTGCTTGCTGACGTTCCCTTCCAATGTGATTACCAGGGAAAATGTGCAAGAGATCAAAGTTGTAACCTTGACACACTTCTTGCCCCTGTGTAAGATGCCTTGAGTTTATTATACCTGGCAAATGATACAGTTTCAGGTAAAAAATTTTCCATCTCAAATTAACTGAATCCTACATGAAAAAGTAAGGTAATACAATTAAATGCTAAGACATAACAAATGGATTATTTGTTAAGATTACAGATGTGATAATGGACTAAATGTACCCAATATAAGCTACACTTTAAGAAACCCAACAGTTTCAAATTATAAACTGAATGTCTGTCTAGTTGGTTTAATTGAGGCTACTAAAATAATTAACAAAAACAACTAGATGAATATAGTTTTTCCAGATGTAACGATCAAAAAGCCAATTTAAGCACATAGAAATTTATTTGAAGAAGTCATTTATTTGAATAGCCTATGGTCCAGGTAAAAAGCACACATTTTCAAAATGTCTTTATACAGTTTGTAAGCAATTTTATACAACAGACAAGTAAATATTCTCCTTATCTAATATCTCTGACATATATTTCATGTACCCAGACTATCATATTAGGACAGCTATTCTTCACAATAATGTTCCTGATGGACTGAAAGATTAAGGAATACTTTGAGTACCATCAAAGACTCAATGGGCATGGTATATTTTTGTGTTTAAATGAATTCTTTGATTACTGATAACATGTCCAACTCTATGTAAACCAAATATTTAATTATCTGATTAATTGGAACATTATCACAAGCTTATTAACAAAGATTCATTTTCTATGTTTTAAAAATATATCAATGGTTTTATAGAAGTTTAAATGCAAAGATGTGTTTGAATGGCACAATATTTTTAGTGCGTTATTTAAAAATCAGAGATTTTGCATAAAAATCTGATATTTTTTGTTTCTCTTACATAATGTAAAAACTACATTTCTTCCTGAAAAGCTTTCTTTTTGCCAGTGTACCCCATTTCATATCATTTCCTTGTTTCCATAAGAAGCCGGAATCAATAAGTACAGTCCACTGAGCACCAAAACAAGAGGAGGGGCTCCAACAAAACCTCCACTCCATGACAGAGAAAGGACTCAATGATCTCCAGACTCTTGGCCAGGCACAGGGTTCCCTTGACTAAGTAACAAATGACCTGACCCCAGAACTGTATCCAGGAAGCCAGCCTTCCCTCAGGAAAGGACAAGACAGATCCAGCTACCTAGGAAATCACCGATTAGATGATTACCATGCATATGGGCAACTCAATAACATTAGAAAACTTTCCAAATTTCCATAAGAAAAATTGTAATCTTTTTTTTTTTACTTCAACTTGAATTTTAGGTTTTGGGTCAAAGCTGAAGATGCTTATTTTTAGGAAGTGGCTCTATATTAATGTCACTCTCAATCAAAATGCTTTTGGGGGAGGTACAATTTTTAAAAATCATTCATTAGATACGTTTTTCTAAAATTAAAGTGCTAGACAACCTATAATGAGTCATGTTACAAGTAATCGTAACATTGTAAACATGTTACAATGCTAATTGGGTCTAATCACTAGTCTTTGAGTTCATTTTTTTAAGACCACACTTCACAATTCACATTTCAGTTTGCAAGTAATTTCGATGTAAATAGTTATTTCTGTGAAATAATTCAAAAACCTTGACTCCAATTAGAAAACTGACTCAAAAAAAGTCATGATGCTTGCTTTAGCACTTCTTCTATGTGCCTGAAAATGCTGGGGTCTTCGATCGTAGGCGTTACCTGAAAAGAGAAGTGGAGGTATGAGTGCACTCCCTTAAAACCCTTTCATACATTTCATAATTAAATAATTACATGCAAAGTTGGATTCCCCATTATCTTATAATACTCATACACATAAATGTTCAAAAATAGGGAACTTTGAACCTAATATTTTAAAATGTCCCTCAGCTTTACAGAATGATAACAAACTGTCCTGTTAGCAAAACTAATGGTCCTCAATGCTACTTTCTACAGAATTCCTCTTGAGACTATGTGCCTCTATAAAAATAAAATTTTTTTTGCACTTGCACTACTCTACTTCAGTATGTACAATATGCAGAAAAATTTTAAATATTCATATGCTTGGATCAGCCTAAAGTTCCCTAAAATAATTTTCACTCAATACAATTAGCATATGTATCAATGCAAAGAGTTAAACAGGTATTGCCAGCCTTAATTACTTGCTTTCTCACTAACAGCCATTAATGAATACAATGAAGGAAAATGTAATTCAATAAAGATTGCATTTCCACAAGTTTGATTGGATTTAACTAACATATTTACTAATAGTAATATTTTCACACACCGATTCTTATATTCTCAAAACATATGATTTTAATTCATCTGTGGTTCTCCAAAGCCATGATTCCTACAGAGTGACTATGCAATTTCTCACTTAACATTTTAAAAAGTGCTATTATGTGTATCTTAGGGATGCAATTCATACTTGAGAACCATTTTTAAGAACTTTGCTGATGCCAAAGAAATGGGGATAAACCATTTCAAAACTCAGCACTAAACATCCTTGATAATTTACCTTATAAGGCTTGCCATTGACAAGGGCAGACAGAGCTGACCGGGGAATTTTGCCCGATCTAGTTTTGGGTAATTGTTTGACAAAAACTGCATTTCGAAAAGCAGCCACAGGGCCAATGCTCTGTCTAACGTGCTTCACAATTTCTTCCAACACTTGTTCCTCGGTTGTATTGATACCTAGGGAGAAGGTCAGATAGGAAGCAGTGAATTAACCTTAGTTAATCATTCAGGGCCCAAACAGTCAGGGTGGACAAAGCTCTCACCTTTTCTCAATACGCAGAGGGCTAAGGGGACATGCCCTTTCAAAGGGTCTTCCTTGCCAACAACAGCGCAGTCAGCCACGGTGCCATGGGAAAGGACTGACTGTAATAAGGAAAAGCATTCATTTAGTGCGCGCGCGCGTGTGTGTGTATGTGTGTGTGTGTGTGTGTGTGTAAATTATTTTAACTAGGAAACTAAGTACATGTCAGATAACTCAAAAACATGTATCTGTGTGAAAATTACTACTAATTCACAATTCATATCTTACTACTGGTGTGAATGATTAGGATCCCCACGGTAGTCACTCACTAAAGGCTGGCAGTAATTAAGACAAATTGTTTAGTTCACCTGGAAAGTAAGGGATTTGTTTCTTCATCTCAATTGTTTATTAGTGAAGTCAGGGAAAATATGCCAGGGATACCACAGGTTAACCAATTGCAACAGGTCTCTGAAAACAGACAGCCTCGTGGTGATTTGGCTTTAGTGGTGGCAACCAAAAGCTCACCTACCAGGAGTCCATGGCAGCCCCAGGACTAAAGACGTAGTGCTTATATTTTTGCATCCGTTACTAAGCAAAGACTAAAGCATTTCTTTTCTTGAGTGACCACCCAGCCAGAGAAGACTTTCCAAAACAAGAGACTGGACATGGAGTGAAGCCCTGACATCAAGGAATCACATTGTCCAGGAGCCGTTTTCATATGCTCACCCGAAGCTCTCAGTGTCTTAAAGAACAAAGCAGCTACCTATCTGGAATCACAGGAACCAGCTGAGTAACCACAAGAAACACAGAAGTTTAGGGTATAAAAAGCCATTTCTGCTGTGATGGGATTTTAAAAACTGAATATCCAAAAAGTTATTTCCTGAAAAAGTAATACATATTTCAGTGACTGCAAATCTCTAGTGACTAGACAAAACAGTGAACAAGATACCAACAGTTCATTTAGAAGTTCTCATTCTTTCTCCCAGTCATTCATTCAACAAAGATTGACTAAATACCTCCTGTGTTCCAGTCACTGCACTAGATTCAGTGGTGAGCAAAAATAGGCAGAGCACGGTCTCACGGTGCCTATGGCCTAGTAGGGGACAGCAATATTAACAATCAAGCATAAATATTTGATTATCATA